ATGTTCTTTTTAGCAGCATCATATGACCCCTTTAAAGGAACAGCTCACCCCAAAATACATTTGCTGAAAATGTACTCACCCTGAGGCCATCCATGATGTAGATCAGTTTATTTCTTAATCAGAACAGATTTGGAGAAATTTTGCCTTATATCAATTGTTCAACTATATTTCCTCTGCAGTGAATGGGTGCCGTCAGAATGAGAGTCCAAACAGCTGATAAAAACTTTAAAGTTAAAACACCTTAATGATGGTTTTGTTTCTTACAAACACCCGGTTTAATCATTTAATTTTGGGGTGAACTATTCCTTTAATTATTTGCATATATTTGAAAATGCAATTTTCAAAGCTTACAAATAATGATTCGGTTAAATAGCTTTATATTTTGCCTGTTATGTCACAGATGTATTTTCTCCTCTGATCACAGGGAGGTTCCATCATCCGGAGGTGTTGGGTCTGGTGAAGAGTTTGAATGAGGAGAGAGCTCGACACATCGCTGCCAAAGAAGATAATGATACAGAGAAGACCACTGACACAAACCCTCACACCCTAGCGACACCATGATCTCAGTTCCTGTAAGGCTATGAAGCTACCGCCACACATCTGTACACAAGAGTGTTTATTTTGTCCTGATTAGCTGTGTTGTATTCGAATCTTATTTAATTGCACAGAAGCATGGTTTGCAGTTGTTTGACGTTTGTGTCCTGTTTGTTTGAATGCTCTGCAGGACACAGTTTGTTTCCACGGTTGCAATTTTGATAAAAATTCAGTCTTTTTATTTAAACCACAGTGAAATGTGACTGTTTTTTTAAATGTTCAGAAGCTGTTTTTCGTTCTATTTGTATTTTGATCAGCATTTACTGCATTCCAGTAACTGATGTTTCAATAAAAATAATATTTTATATGAATTGAAACTGACTTTACTTTGTTGAACGCATGAAAACGGAATGGAAATGTAAACACAACTCATTCTGCAATAATTATAACAACTTTCAAAAATACGTTTGTACTGTATACACATTCAGTTCTGTGAAATTTTGAGTTACAACAGTGCTAGATTTCCAAGTGGAAAGCATTAAGCAGAAGCTACAAAATTTTTTGCAAAGACTTTGCCACGCTTTACCCTTTTACTGACAAAGGAACAGTAACATTAATGTTCATTTTAGGGTTTCTGATTACGGTTCAGTTCACCTTAATTTCATGACTGATGAGCCGGGACCTTGTGACTTTGCAAAAAAAAAAGTTTAATGACTAACATCTAACAATATTAATGAACAGCAGCTCAACACCGAATATGAATTTGAAGAAATATTTCGGCTATAAAATCTTAAAACAACACCTGACTTCATTGTCAATGTTAAATATGTAAAGCTGCAACAAATTTCACACAAATGTATGAAGTAAAGAAAAAAAACAGGATATAATAATGCTATACATTTTTGGTCAGTGACAATTATCATTACCAATACATTACAATTTACATCAGGCAATCAGATAAGCTAATAAATTGCAATAAAGTTCTCTAAATCCCCATTCTTTAATTTGCTGTTTGCATCTGTTATCAACAAACATGTGCTCAAGTTAGCAGGAATAGGAGCATTAACACATTATAACAGGAAAACAAAGTCTAACATCTATTTTGTTGAACATTCTTTCAAGTACTTCTTTTAGGATTGCATACGCAGCCAATATTTTTGGTCCTGGAAATGTATCATGCTTTGTTACAGTTAAACAATGTTGAGTTAGTATAAATAATAAAGTAAAGCAGGACTACACCTAAGACAATATCCTCGAAAAAAATATACATATTTTGAAAAGAACTTAAAGAATAAACAGGCTCCACTTGGTTGTTTTCCTCCCATGCACAGATAATCCTCCAACACGCATCTGAAAGGCATGTATTACCGTGTTTTGGGCCCCCGGTGCAATTTTCACTGTGGTCTCCAAACCACTAGGGGTCATCAGAGTTCCACTGGTAGACCATTGAAACCCTTAGCGCTCACTGTTCTCCATCACATTATTAGTAGGGGTGCCCTGGGCGCTGGCTTGGGCCGCTGAAGACAGGACCTCTTCAAAATTGCCCGCACCTCCTGTTCCTCCAACCTTTGACTGCTCACAACACAAAACTCTCATGACATTGGATAGTATGTTGACATTCAGGATAGTGAAGTTGAAAATTCCTAATGATAAGCTGATCAATTATTAACAGCACCGAACTAAGGGGCAAGCCAAGCTACAGTTTGCTTGTTTGACCACTAATAAGGTCATTGTATGTCAGGCTTACCTTAATGTTTGAAACCGTGCTTTCGACTTTCTCCTCAAAGGACTTGAAACTAGGCGAGTTCCTGTAAAATAAAAATAGTTTCGTTTTATTTACCTAATCTAGACAGTAAACCTCAACTGGTTCGTTCAACTGCAGTCCTAATATCCTCTCCAGGTTGTTTTAGTGTAATGAAGGTGCATGCAAGATGTTACATGCAAGGATTACCATTATTAACAGTTTTTTAAATGTTTATACATCTGACACACCAACACTCAACCTGTAGTGTACTATTTTATATATGCATATGTGCTCATATAATGTACATATATAATGTCACATGCATTTTTGTTGTTCGCCTTTGACGTTTTAAAACGTTTTTTTTTAAATGCAATAATAGAACAAACATGCAAAGCAAGCTGTCACACACATTTACCTCATTGTAGGCATGCTCATTGAATGCCGTATAGAATAGCTGTCCCATGAAAGCATGGCCAAGCAAGAGAGATGTTCGATCATTATCATGGACAAACAAATACATTGCAAATAGGACACATATAAACATAGCTAATAATTATATGTAAGTGTAGCCTGCAGCAGTATGTTTCACTACTACACCAACACAACCAAACATTTGGATTGGTAAGATTTGTAATGTTTTGAAAGAAATCTCTTATGCTCACCAAGGCTGCATTTGATCAAAATAGCAAAGCTATTAAAATTGTATAATATTATTACAAATTAAAATAACTGTTTTCTATTTGAATACATTTTAAAATGTAATTTATTCCTGTGATGCAAAGCTGAATTTTCAGTAGCCATTACTCCAGTCTTCAGTGTCACATGATCCTTCAGAAATCATTCTATTTCTAAATATGCTGATTTGGTGCTCAAAAACATTTCATAATTATCCATGTTGACAGATGTGCTGCTTAATATTTTTTGTGGAAACAGCATTATTTTTTTTTTTTTCAAAAGAACAGCATTTACTTGAAATAGAAATCTATTGTAACTAATGTCCTTACTGTCACTTTTGATGCAATGCTTCTTTGTAAAATAAAACTACTAACTTCTTTCTAAACATAAGACCTGACCTCAAATTTAGAATGGTACTGTACAAGCTGGTGACTTTCCAATGGACAACACAGTACAGAACTGTGATCATTTTGCACTTCCTGTATTCTATGCATAGTGAGAACTAAACTGCATACCTGATAAAAAAAACACACGGCTATTCAAAGTAGGTGGGATAAGGAGGTTTTTGCTATTTCTCTCATAAACTATATATCAAAACAAGAGTATTACATGCATTATTTGTCAACACATAAATAGTTCAATGAAAAGCAACACATGCTGAAAACAGTTATCTATTAAACCGATGCATGTAGTCAATGTGGGAGACAGAGAAATTATTGTTAACAAAAATAAGACCTGCTTATAATGCTACAGCACAGTCTGAGATATTGAACCATTTCAGATCTAATATTATCTAATGAATTTATGGCTCCGCACAGTTTTTTTTCTCAGAATCAATGTAAGACAGACACTCATTGAAATTGCATTGAAATATTCATATTAGCTGCTCAGACACTTGAACACCCTTTCACACCCATATTGATTATTTATGGAAACACTGTGTCTGAGTAAGTCAGATTTAGTTTCAGCACCGTCACTGTTCTCATGTATCAGGCAGATGCTAAAAGCTACTGCTAATCTCGAAGATCTATAAACACAATATCTTACCCAAGAGAATATGACCTTTGGTGTGCATCAGAGACAGGGAAAGAACATTATACATCATTTTTTTGCTGACAGATTATAGGCCACACAACAAAATTCCAGTCATATGAGCCTCAAAACATATTTGAGGACATATTAAAATTCATTCAGTTATCAAGTTAAGAACAACACTATCGGTAGAACTTTCACTCGCATAAAACCATAACAATAAATCAGACTTATTTCAAACCATGCAACTGATTTTTAATGATTTTTTAAAAAACATTTAATAAATTCTTTTAGAATTGTAATACAGTGGTCACAAAAACTGTTTTGGACACTTAAATGGAAATATTAAAAATATTAAACCAAATGGTGCTTGACCTTTTTTAGACCTAACTTTTATCCAAGTGGTGTTAAGTTTATTTTTTTAGTAGATGTCTGAATTTAGTTTCCCTCAAGTTAACACTACAAACACTTACTGTCTTCATTTTAAACAATTGTTCTGTCACATGAAACCTTGTGAAATGAGCTTTAAAAGTGTGCATCTAATGCAATAGCATTCACAAATTTTTAAGTGTGACTTAGAGTAAGTGTCTTTACTTTTTAGGGCCACTGTATACTGGCAGTTAAAGTTGCTAATGAACTTTAACCATTGCCAATAATTGCCAATTTAGGCCTGACGCAACAGGCTGAACGCAGCACTCAGCACACACAGAGAGAAACTGTGCAGAAGTTATAAGAATATTTATCAACATTTCAACAAAAATGTGAATTTGGACTCTTTTTGAAGTATTGATGAACACCTGAAAAGCAAAAAGCATTATTTTCCATATTAACTCCATATGTAGTATGGACTGTAATCATGCAATATGCTGCTATAGCTATAAGCCAATAAGCATGCAAGGCTAAACATCGATTTTTGGAAGTTCACTGCAAACATGAGGTAGAAAACCCCCAAGCACATGCAGAGAGATGGTGTCACACATTGGCAACCAAACACACATACCTCCTAGGATACAGTATCTGAAGGCCAAACATGCTGAAGTAAAATAAGGTAATGAGGTTTTGGATCTACAGAAATGTCCAATTACAGTAAAATCAACACTATATTGCTAAAGCAAATGCGGGGAGCGAGTGGCAAATTAGAACTGGGCATCATGCAATGATTTTGATCATTCTTTATAATTAATTGATGAATAAAACATTGTCTTACAAACACACAAACGCGCAACATAATGTGTATCCTATAACACTCCTGCAAATTCTATTACATCATGTAAATTATATATTTTGTCACTTATCTATATTTTTGACCTTTTTCCCAGTAAAAAAATTATATATATATATATATATATTATGTATAATAATATATTATTATTATACATTTGTAAACAATTAGTTATTAGAAAAAATATAGTGGAAAAATCTAAAATACACTACACTACCTATTTTAACAACAATCAACAATCAAAATAATGTATTTTCTCTTATAAATATATTTAGTTCTATATTTCTACTGGGGAAAAAAGGAGGAAAATCTTATTTTATTTTTTTTTGCAGTGTTTAGGACTTCCATCTGTATAATAAGTATAACCATTATTAATTATAACAAACTGTCAACAGTCAACCCTTATTACCCTGCTGTAGATGTGGACACTTCTCTCTTACTATTCTTCTAAACTGAATGCATCTATTGTCAAAGAGTGTCTCAACCATGCAGGAGCCAGTGAAGAGGAGCTGGTTAATTCTTCATGCCATCACAGGCTCTTGTTTTTATGCCAGCTGGACATGCCCCAATCTGGCCCACTGAAAGCTGCTTAAATGAGGCTTACGTAACACAAACATGCCACTCAAACAGACTGGCCAAAGTAAATGCCTCAAGACCACTGCCATTTCACTGTGCAACAATCACAGTGTGTGTACTATGCATTTGTGGGAGATTCCTGCAGAAAGAGGCAGAGGAGGAAGTGACATTGTACCTCATATCGCCGAACTTCCTGTTGATGGCATTGCCCAGGTTACTGAAGGCCACTGAGGTCCGCTGTCCTGCCGTGCTCAGGGTCTCAGACGTCTTTTTGTATCTGGCAGAACAGTACAAAACCAGATACTCTTACTTAGATATTCCTATCATAGATAAAATATTTCTCCTAAATATAAAATTTGCACACAAACCTACTTATTTTATTATTTTTTTTAATTTACACAGTTTAAAACATATTCCATAGCAGAAATGACCCTGGACTTACGAACCCCTGGGGGTTCACAAGGGTACTGCAGGGGGTTCGCTTTGCGAGTTGATTGAAAGCTAATAATTAAACCAAATGTAAAATTTAAATAAATATATGTGGTCCAATTACAGTAAAATCAACACTATATTGCTAAAGCAAATGCGGGGAGCGAGTGGCAAATTAGAACTGGGCATCATGCAATGATTTTGATCATTCTTTATAATTAATTGATGAATAAAACATTGTCTTACAAACACACAAACGCACAACATAATGTGTATCCTATAACACTCCTGCAAATTCTATTACATCATGTAAATTATATATTTTGTCACTTATCAATCTATATTTTTGACCTTTTTCCCAGTAAAAAAATTATATATATATATATATATATTATGTATAATAATATATTATTATTATACATTTGTAAACAATTAGTTATTAGAAAAAATATAGTGGAAAAATCTAAAATACACTACACTACCTATTTTAACAACAATCAACAATCAAAATAATGTATTTTCTCTTATAAATATATTTAGTTCTATATTTCTACTGGGGAAAAAAGGAGGAAAATCTTATTTTATTTTTTTTTGCAGTGTTTAGGACTTCCATCTGTATAATAAGTATAACCATTATTAATTATAACAAACTGTCAACAGTCAACCCTTATTACCCTGCTGTAGATGTGGACACTTCTCTCTTACTATTCTTCTAAACTGAATGCATCTATTGTCAAAGAGTGTCTCAACCATGCAGGAGCCAGTGAAGAGGAGCTGGTTAATTCTTCATGCCACCACAGGCTCTTGTTTTTATGCCAGCTGGACATGCCCCAATCTGGCCCACTGAAAGCTGCTTAAATGAGGCTTACGTAACACAAACATGCCACTCAAACAGACTGGCCAAAGTAAATGCCTCAAGACCACTGCCATTTCACTGTGCAACAATCACAGCGTGTGTACTATGCATTTGTGGGAGATTCCTGCAGAAAGAGGCAGAGGAGGAAGTGACATTGTACCTCATATCGCCGAACTTCCTGTTGATGGCATTGCCCAGGTTACTGAAGGCCACTGAGGTCCGCTGTCCTGCCGTGCTCAGGGTCTCAGACGTCTTTTTGTATCTGGCAGAACAGTACAAAACCAGATACTCTTACTTAGATATTCCTATCATAGATAAAATATTTCTCCTAAATATAAAATTTGCACACAAACCTACTTATTTTATTATTTTTTTTAATTTACACAGTTTAAAACATATTCCATAGCAGAAATGACCCTGGACTTACGAACCCCTGGGGGTTCACAAGGGTACTGCAGGGGGTTCGCTTTGCGAGTTGATTGAAAGCTAATAATTAAACCAAATGTAAAATTTAAATAAATATATGTGGCTGCACAGTCTAAATAAAACTGAAAAGGCAATATAGCTTAGTGTGATTATCTAATCAAAGGCTACGATTGTGCGATGTGTACATTTGCATAATTTCTGTGCATAAAAGTTTACAGTGTTTCACCAGTATTCTGCCAAAATAAAAGCTTTAGGATATGAAAATATGAAAGTGAAGAATTTAATACATGTAATACATAAATATGAGTGCTGTTACTTGCAGTGTAAAATAGAATTTGCAAAAAATGTATGATATATAAATTATTATAAGTGTCATTTTTTATTTTACAGGACAACTGTAATTTAAAACAGTAATATATTTATGTAATTCATTATATAATTTTTTTATACATTAAAATTTTTATAAGAGGTAAAACAATATAACACCACCACCAAAAAGCCATATATACAGGCAGCACTATATATAAACAATTTGATAATAAAAACATTTGATAATAAACAATGTACTAAAAAAAGATTCAATTTTAAGTCATGTGGCCACAGAGAACTATGAAAATGAAAATGTGTCATTATTATTATTATTATTTTAAATATTAACTTCAAATATTAAAATCTCAAAGGGTTCTTCAAGAAAATATTTTCTAAGGAGTTCGACAAAAAAGTTTGGTAACCTTGGTGTAACTCTTTAGTGCATCTTAGAATACATTAAACATGACATTTAAATATTAAACATGCCAGTTCCCAAAGGAGACCGAAGAACGAGAACAAACTTAGAACATGTACAGGCAAAGAACAAAAAGGTGCCTTTTCGGAATTGTAGACAGGAAGAACTTCACTTCAGTTTTTTCTGTGATCTCGTACAAAACAGGAAGAAATGCTGCTTTAATCCAGAGAATACAATAAGACAGTCTACAAAGGGAACACTACAGCCACAATGCTATTGATACTCTACAGAAATAACAATAAGACATTTAGATAAATGTATATGCTTAAATATAGGTTTGTATTGTATAAAAATGCCTAAAAATGTCCTACTCTTTGTTTTTTTCCTAAATGTTATTAGGTCTGTTGGATGACAGCAAGTCAACTGAAGTCACTTTTTGAACCCAAGAGCTCTACATTCCTCAGAACAAAAGTCCCATATTTAATAACATTTTACACACACAGTATCCAAACCTGGCACATTCTGATCAGTCGAAAGTCTACAAACAACATTTGTGTGTTTCTCACACAAAGCAATAGTATGACTTTAGAAAACCTGGAATATACTGTAGTCTGAGATTCATCCCTCTTTATTGTATGGAGAATGCAGCATGAACATCTTTTATGATAGAAAGTCTTAAGGAGTCATATGATGCGATTTCAAGTTTTCCTTTCTCTTTGAAGTGTTACAAGCTCTTGGTGCATAAAGAAGATCTGTAAAGTTATATTTCTCCTAAATATAAAATTTGCACACAAACCTACTTATTTTTTTTTTTTTAAATTTACACAGTTTAAAACATATTCCATAGCAGAAATGACCCTGGACTTACGAACCCCTGGGGGTTCACAAGGGTACTGCAGGGGGTTCGCTTTGCGAGTTGATTGAAAGCTAATAATTAAACCAAATGTAAAATTTAAATAAATATATGTGGCTGCACAGTCTAAATAAAACTGAAAAGGCAATATAGCTTAGTGTGATTATCTAATCAAAGGCTACGATTGTGCGATGTGTACATTTGCATAATTTCTGTGCATAAAAGTTTACAGTGTTTCACCAGTATTCTGCCAAAATAAAAGCTTTAGGATATGAAAATATGAAAGTGAAGAATTTAATACATGTAATACATAAATATGAGTGCTGTTACTTGCAGTGTAAAATAGAATTTGCAAAAAATGTATGATATATAAATTATTATAAGTGTCATTTTTTATTTTACAGGACAACTGTAATTTAAAACAGTAATATATTTATGTAATTCATTATATAATTTTTTTATACATTAAAATTTTTATAAGAGGTAAAACAATATAACACCACCACCAAAAAGCCATATATACAGGCAGCACTATATATAAACAATTTGATAATAAAAACATTTGATAATAAACAATGTACTAAAAAAAGATTCAATTTTAAGTCATGTGGCCACAGAGAACTATGAAAATGAAAATGTGTCATTATTATTATTATTTTTTTTAAATATTAACTTCAAATATTAAAATCTCAAAGGGTTCTTCAAGAAAATATTTTCTAAGGAGTTCGACAAAAAAGTTTGGTAACCTTGGTGTAACTCTTTAGTGCATCTTAGAATACATTAAACATGACATTTAAATATTAAACATGCCAGTTCCCAAAGGAGACCGAAGAACGAGAACAAACTTAGAACATGTACAGGCAAAGAACAAAAAGGTGCCTTTTCGGAATTGTAGACAGGAAGAACTTCACTTCAGTTTTTTCTGTGATCTCGTACAAAACAGGAAGAAATGCTGCTTTAATCCAGAGAATACAATAAGACAGTCTACAAAGGGAACACTACAGCCACAAAGCTATTGATACTCTACAGAAATAACAATCAGACATTTAGATAAATGTATATGCTTAAATATAGGTTTGTATTGTATAAAAATGCCTAAAAATGTCCTACTCTTTGTTTTTTTCCTAAATGTTATTAGGTCTGTTGGATGACAGCAAGTCAACTGAAGTCACTTTTTGAACCCAAGAGCTCTACATTCCTCAGAACAAAAGTCCCATATTTAATAACATTTTACACACACAGTATCCAAACCTGGCACATTCTGATCAGTCGAAAGTCTACAAACAACATTTGTGTGTTTCTCACACAAAGCAATAGTATGACTTTAGAAAACCTGGAATATACTGTAGTCTGAGATTCATCCCTCTTTATTGTATGGAGAATGCAGCATGAACATCTTTTATGATAGAAAGTCTTAAGGAGTCATATGATGCGATTTCAAGTTTTCCTTTCTCTTTGAAGTGTTACAAGCTCTTGGTGCATAAAGAAGATTACAGATCATTTGAAACTGCAATGTGTTTACTTTATTTCTGTCATCTCGGTTTCCTTTCCGTGGACTTTCGTAGAGCGCCGCGCCACACAAATAGCCTATGAACCAAACTCAGCAGCATATCTCGCAGATTTTTATTTTTATTTAAACTTAATTTTTGTTGCTTGTCTGCGCTCGTCCGCCGTCTTTTTCTCTTCTCCGACCCCGCAGCTCTCTCTCCGATAGCTTAGTGTTAGTGGCACCAGTCCAGGTGTTTCCAGGTTTTACTCGTGCTATTTCTCCATGTTGAGAGTTTGGTGTTGCACATATTGCACCTGACTATGCATTCTTATCCTTTTCTCCGATGAACTGAAAATAACAGGAGTGTGTCCATCTCACAAATGTAGAATCCGTCTCTGCAGTCATCTGAACCATCTAATTCCAGCAACAGGAAATAGACGAACTATTTTACCCGCGGAATTTTTTCTCTGGTGCTGTTTTGCTGTGTTGGTAAATTCACCACTTAATTTTGAGTTAAAATATGTTGTTGTAACTTGCGTTACTGAGATTGTAACGAGTAATAATATTACCCAAATTTGATTAGTAATGCGTTATATTACTGCGTTACAGCAAAAAGTAATATACTACTGTAATATTATTACTTTTGTAATGCGTTACTCCCAACACTGGTTAAATCACTATTGCTCATACTCTTTGTGCTACAGACAAGGACACGTCAACTCAGTGTTATTTTAGTATCACAGTATTTATATACGGTAATATTATACTTTTTTATTAACATTTAGAATTATCTTTTGTTTTATATTTTCAGTTTTCATTTTAATTATTAGTATGTTTGTTATGTGCTTTGTACTTTTTATTAGTATTTTTTAATTAAACTATTTAGGTTTCATTTTTTTCAATTTTAGTTCAATTGTAGTTTTTATTAGTTTGTACTTTTAGTTGCAACATTTCTAATTTTTGCTTTAAGTTTTCTATCTAATATTTTTATTTTATTTCAGTTTCATTTTAATTAACAAAAAATGTTTTGGTTTTAACATTAATAACTCAACTACACAAATATATACATTCCGAAATATATAAAAAATAATTTGGCTGCATCTGAACTAAACTACTTGTTAAGCAAAAACTGTACCACTAAACTAACTCATCTAACACACGTATAGAACTACTAGGTTGTTAAAAAGTGATTTTGTCCCATTTTGGTCATGCCTTTTCTCCAAGTGAGCAAGGACCACCACTGTTATCTTTTTCAAAAAGGTGCATGATGCATCTGATATCATAAGCCAGACTGAAATATGACATAAATCACGAGGTTTAGCAAAGGCTACTTACGCTGTGCTGGTCTGCATGTCGTACCAGCTCTTGGAGAAGTTCTGTCGCAGTTCATTCAGGGGTGTGATCCCTAGATTCTGTTTCAGCTCCAAGTGACGGTTTTCTTTGGAGGCCAGGACTTGTTTCAAAGTAGTGATTTCTTCTTCTAACTGACAGGGAAAATAAGTCAAGGTTGGGGGCTGAAGCTTAAAGGAACACGCCACTATTTTTGAAAATAGGCTCATTTTCCAACTCCCCTAGAGTTAAACAGTTGAGTTTTACCGTTTTCGAATCCATTCAGACGCAATGATAATATGCAGTGCCTGAAAATAGTCCCCAGCTAGGTAACTTCCAATAAGCCTATTTTCATGCGCTGCGTAATATCATTGCGCCTGCTGCACCCATGGTACGGCAGCAAAATTCCTTGATTATTACACCGGAATGAGAGTATAGTTCCTAGCCATATCGGCCTAGAAAATCGCAACTTTTCATTTTTCGTCGGTCTTAGTACACGATGTAACTACAGAAGGGTCAAGTTTTAAATAGGAAAAATATCGAAACTCTTTGGTCAATTTTGAGCTAGATGCTAACAGTCTAATCAGATTCAATGATCTATGCTAAGCTGCAGCTAAAAGTGCTACCGCCAGACCCGGAGATCGGCTGAATGGATTCGAAAACGGTAAAACTCAACTGTTTAACTCTAGGGGAGTTGGAAAATGAGCCTATTTTCAAAAGTAGTGGCGTGTTCCTTTAACAACAGGCAATTCAGTTCTGATATGAAGTCTCCACTCTTTTCTTTCCGTCTCATATGCAAACTGTCTTACAGTTAACATCAGCCTTACATGGAGATCCACGGGGGATAAAGTAGCCCAAGTAAAAATGGGAAAGCTTTGGTCACATGATTTTCAATCATGCGTGTATGTTCTGGATGAGATAATGCAGACCATTTGTGTGGCAACAGCTCAGTATATTTCAGGAAATACAGTACAGTAGACTGGATCGTATTTTAATACTAATTGCTTTAATATGACTGAAATCACCTTACTATATTTTTACACTAATGCATGTAATTTTTAACTCTCATAACAGATAGAAATACTGTAGCTTCTTAAGTGAACAGTGGCACATTTTCACTTTTTTAAAGTGAGTCACAACATGCAAAGAAGGAAAATGCAGACAGATCTGCAGGATTTACATACCATGCACTATTTCTGCTTGAGCTTTGTAGCCTTGGGGTTCAGAGACTAACATAGTTTCTAAGGATCAACCTGCCCATTTTCCTGGTCTAGCACTAAAACACTGGAGAAAATACCTTAATCAGTTCATTCTCCATTTCCTCTCGATCCTCTTCTGTGACAGTGTTGTTGAGATCCACCTCTGACACCATATCCTCGTCCACTTCCTTTAGAGGCTCTTTGTCCAATAAACCTGGAAATAAATGTACAAAAATAGCAGAACAATGAAAGTTATTGTTAACATGTCTCAATCAAATGGACAAATCTTTGAGCACACATTCTTGCGCAGATTTGATTTCACAGACATAACTTGTGTTGTTAAGTCAATCCACTGTTGCTAATAGAATGATAAAACTTTAGAACCATTTAGTCCAAAAGTTTCTGAGTCCCAAAAAACTAATTAAAACACAGGATAAGGGTATAATTTATATACAAATAAGGAATAGCTTACCCAAAAATTAATTCTACATTTATTTATATATATTCAGAAATCATTCTAATATGCTGATGGTGCTCAAGAAACATTTATTTTTATTCTCAACATTGAAAATAGTTGATAACATAGCTATTTTTAGGAAAACTAAACCATGCTGTTTGCACTGTACAGAAACGACCCTTCAGTCAGTCTGAAAAGCCTTTAAACACGTTTAACCATCACCTTAACTGTGTAATTATCCTGCCTCACCTCAGAATGAATGTGTATTTGCAGTTATAATGAAAGGTTGTACAAAAAAGACTGAAAACACCTTGAAATTTGCACTAGAGCCTAGAGATTCATGACGTATAACAGAGCTTTACATGTTTTCTTTAAGATCACATTAAAGTTAAAAAAATTGGTCAACTGATTTACAAACATGATGGCATTTTTACAAGCAATATTGCAGCATGTTTTGAGGCAACATAAGGCTGATTTCAGTCTAAGGCACCTCATAATAGACATGCAGAGACTAGAGTATTTTGAAAAACAACAGTATTTTGAGGCTTTAACATGAACTTACGTAAAGAGTAGAGGACATGAAAGTAGAAATATGGTTTAATTACCACACCTATCACTGAAACCTCAACCCAGTTCCCCAAAATCCCAGTTTCAGCTGCAGAATCACCCACTCAGTACACCATGTTTTAGTTTCATTTCATTGCAATACATGTCTGGCATGACTTACATAAATCAATATTTTAGAGTATTCATCCAAGAGTGAAATTATATTGAAATGACAGCATATACTGTGCGTAACGTGAATGGACAAAACAACTCAGACCCCTTTAGAATTGGACTCAAATGTCAAAACACCCTGTTACTTTTATAATTAATTTACTCAGAAACTCAATGTGCTTCGGAAGCATTATGCTGGAGGTCAAAAACACTCTTGATTAAAGTGAAAGAAAAACTAAATCCTACAATAGCTAGAAAATGAAAGCTCATATGATGAAGCACTAATGCATTTGATATGGCTCCAGTAATGTGAGTAAATGTTAAGGTTGTTCTTGTCCACAGGGAAACAAGAGTCACATCTCAGAGATCTGGTCAGTCATTACACGAGAAACTGATTAGTGTACTGTGGCATGAAACGCGTGATACACTTTTAGTGGCTAATGCAATCAGCAGGTAGAAGAGCAGAGCTGGACGATCTAAGCAAAGGAAAGCAATGAGATCTCAGATTCATCATTTACACCACACACAACAGCTTGTACAGAAGGTCAGATCTATCTGTTTACAACTAAAGCAAGATGGTGCATTGGTAGCTTGAGGACATTAACATGATCAAATCAGACAGTATGTTATGCATTTACAGTTTTCTTAATCTTAGTCTTTCAACTATGTATATTTGCTATTTGCACATAACCCATTTGGATTACATTTTGAAGCAATAAAACAGTGCACATAAATAAATATAGGCCTGTAGATTTCACACAGTTATTTAACACAATTCACTATAAAACATGCATCATCAATGTTTTATAAAAAAAAACAACACAATTTACATTCTATATGGCCCAACAATTACAAATTTAGATTTTCTAAACACATGTGATTAATTGTAAATTTATTTTTATATTATTATTAGTGAATTAATCTGATGAATTAATCAGCATATCAACATGTTTTAAACTAGTTTTTAAGTGTTTTATTTTGGTGACAGCCTTACTTTGGACAAACCTTGACTGTTTCAACTTTGGTCTAGATATTTAAATGTCAATATGATAGAAAAAAGTTTCCAACATACAGCATGAACATGTCCTGTGTGGCTGACATTTGAAATATGAAAATAATCAATGTCCTCAAAATCACTTTTTCATAGAAACCCCCCCCCCCCCAACATACATTGACTTTGCACATGCAAAATTCTGACATGATCTGAGAAGCTATTATCCCTCTGGGTCTTCAGTTTGTAAGATGTCAACACTGTTTATTTACTTATAACAAGAATTGATTTCTTGATATAGATTAAATCTGAAGGTTGTATCTTTGGGCATAACTCAGAAGAAAAGTTACTTTATAAAAGCAATTATCTCACACTTCCACAGCCTCATTGTTCAGGTTGCCTAGCAACTTTCTTGATGTCTTGCATCAAGCTCCCAATTATCCCATAAATCGGATTCCCTAAATCTATTTAAGCTTCTGCATCTCGAATAAGAGGAAGTACAGAGGATCATTTTCGTGTTAAATATGTAAAATAATACCCTTTCCATTCCATTGCCTTTCTACTGTGTCTACAGATACTGAGCTAAATCGTTGTTGAAGGTTTATTACTGGAAAAAGAGAGCTGTGCGATATCAAATTGGTTCATTCAACAACACCAAGATGAAGTGCTGAGACATCTAAGATTTAAGCCAAGATCATTTGAAAAGATAATGCTATGGTGCATTTCAGAACAGCATTTTAAAACTAATTTAAATAATGACATGTTTCCTGCATGGTTTCTAGATGGTTCATACTGGTTTAACTGATCAGTTTGGCTATTAGCCAGTACAGCTTAGACTGACCTTGAATGTAGACCATTATTTTTAACCTATCCAGAGCTAGGAACCTGGTTGAGCTGGTTAATCAATTACAACTTGAAGTGGTTGGTCATCTAAATCTGCCTTCTTTCATCAAATAGCTTTAAAAACATATGGAAGGAGTCATTCTTTTGAGCTGATTCTTTTTTAATGAATTGATCAAATCTGTTTAAATGAACTGCTCAAACGTACCAACTCGTTGAAATGAGTATGACTTCCCATCACTAAAATGACAGGAAAATGCAATAAAGAAGTGATAATCAGAAAGAAACTCCTCCATATCTTTAAACATTCCCTTTCTGGGTTAGTTGTCTATTTTTGTCATTAATGGGCCATTCAGAGTTGATCTTTCTCATGTTCTTCTGTCTGGGTGAGCGAGTCAGAGTCATGTCATGGTGTTCGCTGTGTCATCTGAGTAACTAAGTGTCCCTTCAGGGCAGTGTACTCGACAGTTCAGCTTCTTCAAGCTCACTGGACTATGCATCCAGCTCTCTCAATGTCCTAATTTTCCTTCCCGACGACGCAACAGATTCACAAAGAATCACTTCACTGTCCTCAGAGAACGATTTCAATGTGAGGAGGAGGAGGGCATTCTTATTATCATCAGATGAACAAAACACCTATTTCTTATCACCCACTGATAGAAATGAAAGGGGTGGTTCATTGCGATTTCGTTAGTTAGTGTCTAATGTTGCTGTTTGAGCATAAACAAAATCTGCAAAGTTACAAAGCTGAAAGTTAAATGCAAACGGAGATATCTTTTAAAGATGTCTTTTAAAATTCTGGCAGTTTAATGCCTACAAAAACGGCTGGTACACTCTCAGAAAAAAAGGTACAAAAGCTGTCACTGGGGCGGTACCTTTTCAAAAGGCACACCTTTGTACCTAAAGAGTCCATATTGGTACCTTAAAGATACATATAAGTACCTAAAGTGTACATAAAAGGCATTCAAATCCAGACTAGAGATGATCAAGAAAACAAATTATTAAATATTTGAGATACTATTTTAATCTGTGTAATCTATGTACTGTAAAACAATGCTGTCAATTAATTAAACTAATTAATCACAACTTTATCATAATTATTATATAGTTAATGTGTTAAAGGCAGGGTATGTGATTTTTCAAAAACACTTTAGAAAACTGATTCGGGCCGAATAGCAAAACAAACTTGTAGCCAATCAGCAATAAGGGGCGTGTCTACTCGTGATGTGGAGGAGAGAGCTTTCAGTGCATGGGACGGACATTAGCCGAGCCGAGCGACAGAAAGATAGAGATGGCGGATAAAAAAACAAAAGAAGAAAACGTCTGCGGAACGATAAGGCAAGAAGTAGGACCCGTGTAAATATCGGATCAGCTTTCCAGCGCTGGAGAGAACTCAAGGAGCGGAGGCCTGCGATCGGACGCCGAGGTTGCTTTGTTTCTTCTCAATAGGTGAGTAACACCGTGTCTACAACAGCTAAAGTCTGCCTACACTGGACGCGATCAAACGACCGTTGAAAACCATTTGAAATTTGTGTCAGCACGTCATAAATAGAACCCGGCAGCAGTTTTCTGTCGGGGATTTGTTGCGCCGCGCCGCTCACGTCCGTAGACACGGTGTAACATTGGTTTTGCTTTGTTTCACAGAACTAATCGTTGCCTGGGTTGCGTACGTATATGTGGGGCGGAGCTATCAAAATAGGGGCAAGACCCTTTTGGGGTAGGGGCGTGTTTGTTTTGGTGATTTCAAATATCAACATTGGCTACCAGAAATCACTTACTCTGCCTTTAATGCATTCAGTTACCTGCTATGGAAATAAAACTAAATAATAGGCATCTGGCCTATTATTACGTTCAGCATTTTGTGTAAATAACTTTTATAGTGTACATTTTTGTGGTATTAGTCTCAATGATGCGCGCACACACACACACACACACACACACAAAATCTTGTATCCAAACACAACTAAATGCAAATCAGTAAAAATTCTATAAAACAACAGCTAAATAAACATTAACCTAATTGCACAAGTTAGTGTTATATTAGTACTAATACTATTACTGTGTTTATTAATATTTATAGCTTTTATTTTTATATATACATTTTTTTTGTCATTTTTATTAGTATTTAAATTTTTCTATTCAGTTTTAATTGATTTATTTCAGGATTAGTGCTATACTAACAACTTGCAAACAAATATATATATTTTTTTTTAGTTAACAATAGCAATGCTTGTGTTACCGGGCTAAGTTTGACAGCACTACTAACAAACAAAACATCTAATAGTCTAATAAACACTAGTAAAGTGTTTTCTGTGACAAATGGAACAAATCCTGTTTTTTTTTCCCACTAAATAACTCAAAAATTTAAGGGCATGGTTTCAGTGAACTATTGCGTAATTTCTGGCCTTGCCGGAGTAATCTGAGGGATTTTTCCTTAGTGATTATCTGACTGGATTTAATTCTGTCTGAATGCTGCACAGAGACACCACAGAGTATTTAGTGACTGGCAGGAAATTCCAGATGGTGACCATGCAAAGTGTTTAATGGATTGCTTTTAAAACTCTGCTAAGCTACATCCTTCACATGAAATTAGATGTTTTTGAGACTTACCTGCATGGAAAGTTTCTCTGTCTTCTGTGGTTCAGCAGATTGAAAATAAGGAGAACATTACATGATCTGATTCATGAGCTGATACACCAAATAGATTACAAATTACAAAATGCCACTCAAATCTCACAAGAACATGCAATCAGGCTGCATTCAACAGCAAAGAACTGAAGTGAGATATTCAACATAATTCAAAAACAAAATTTACACAGACATGCATATCAAACCCATGTTGTCTCATTCAGGGAACTTCAACATGGCATGCATTTAAAGCACAACAAAGGGTCTGCCAATCAAATAATGTCACATTTCTAGGGTTTAGCAGTGTCTACAAGTTTTGAACGTGCTAAAGTCTTTGACATGGCTGTCTACTTCCATCTTAAAGCACCTATGTCAAAGAGCTACACACAACTCATCCATCAGCTCAAGAGGTGGAAATGGAGTGATCTACATGGCTACAGAGGTTGGGTTTGTCACATTCACTTTCATTACATTACACAGCAAGCGCTTACCCCAGTCTACTATTGCTTCAGGAGTCAGTACGCTAGAGTACAGCTCTGTGAAGCATGATTGGCAAAACAAGCAAAAGATTAAAGTATAAATGCAGAAATGTGTACATATATGCATTGACTTTAGCGCTTTTTAAACAAATGTATTAATAACATTAAACTATAACTACATATTATAAATATACTATTTTCAGGTTTGTGTACTTCTTTTAAAATAATGCACTATATTATACTGTACTCCTATACTAAATCCTACTATGAGTTCAAAGATACATTGACTTTATATTTACTATTCACAAGCTCAACTACTTTACTGTAAATCTACTTGCATTTTGTCTAGTCAAGTTATAAAAATGACATAAATATAAAATAAATAATTCTAAAATACATCATTATAAATTAGAAATAAATGATTTACATTCTATAAAAATAATACACTATACCATAAACTGCTATTTGTTTTAACTTCACTGTACTGTACTACAACAACAACAACAACAACAACAGCAGAGCCGTTTGATATATAACTATTTTCAGGTTTGTGTACTTCTTTTACAATAATGCACTATATTATACTGTACTCCTATACTAAATCCTACTATGAGTGCAAAGATACATTGACTTTATATTTACTATTCACAAGCTCAACTACTTTACTGTAAATCTACTTGCATTTTGTCTAGTCAAATTATAAAAATGACATAAATATAAAATAAATAATTCTAAAATACATCATTATAAATTAGAAATAAATGATTTACATTCTATAAAAATAATACACTATACCATAAACTGCTATTTGTTTTAACTTCACTGTACTGTACTACAACAACAACAACAACAACAACAGCAGAGCCGTTTGATATATATATATATGTATATAGAATTTTTGTCATTGCCATAATATATTTGTTTTAACTTCACTGTACTGTACTACAACAACAACAACAGCAGAGCCGTTTGATATATATATATATGTATATAGAATTTTTGTCATTGCCATAATTTTATTTACTATACTACAGCTTAACTATGTTACTGTTTGTTTCTTTATGTTTACTGTTCTAATATTAATTAATTGGTTATCACTGGTCTTGATGGTACAGGTGCTGATGATCCTTGCCTAGATCTCAAACAGTATACCATAAAGTGTGTTTATTACACTGACACTGATTGATAATTATATGACTTTTCATTGCCCAACCCTGCCATTAGAGCTCGTTAGATTGGTGGAGCAACACAGTACTCAGTGCCAACAGGATGTCTATACTACTAAACTGTACAGTTTTGTTTAGTTAAAGACCAGCCAATTCACTGGTACTACCACTGGAATATATCTGGTCACAAGATTTCAATTATTTAGCTCAGGACAGTCCAGATCACAGTACCTAAAGGAACTTGAGAGAGAGAGAGGGAGGAGCTGCATCCAATTCCCTCATTTATTTACGTGTTTTGACAACAGATCCATGGAAAACTTGATCACAAGTCTGGCTTAAACTCATGCACATCGTTAGAATGAAGCCTAAATTAACTCGACTACAAAAACATGTACATATGACCTTTAAATAGCCTAATATTTGTTAGCTGTCTAGTTATCTGTTCTAATCTATCATATCTATTTTTCTAGTATGCAAAAATAAAACCAGTATAACATAACGTGCCTCTTCAGTGAAGGACTACTCAAGTTATTTGAGGATACACAAGAAAGTGAAACCATATTTGCAGAAGTATTCAAATACATTTACATGCACACGCATATTTACAGAACAATACGAGATGAAAGTGTTTGGAAAGTAAGCTCACCCTGTTGTCTGGGCTCCATATCAGCTGTAGTGTGCAAATGCAGGTCCAGTTCACATTAACAGCACCTCTCAGTTCCGAGAAATACCCCGTCCAAAACAACCGCTCCAGACACGCACTCTCTGCTCTCAAAACCCCGCCCATTACAGGGCAGCTTCAGCCACAGACCAATGGGAACTGTTCTAATTAGCATATTCTAATTTAATAATACATGCCATGGTAAATAACAACAGCCGTAAGTTCCTACATAAAAAACAAAGATATGTATAGATTTATATGATTAAAGACTACAACGGTTGTCTGATTCCTAAAGCACGTAAACTTTCATCTTTGTGGTAGCTGTAGTCCTTATTTGATAAATTGTTAGCAACTTGGGTTTTTAAGCAACCGTTTCAAAATCCAATTGTCCAAATGGAAATCCAAAAATCCAACTATTTGCAATTCATGTTGCAGAATAGAACGGTTAAAAACAATTTAAGAAATGTAAATCACAGACCTTATTTTACTCAAAACATCTTCAAAGTTAAAACCAAAACCCAGAGGCAACACGGCTCAAAAATGCTAATTCCTTCCGGGTTTTAGAGCTGTAAACAAAAAAAGTTATTAATAAAATCCAGGTAAATTTGCACAGTCTAGGATGTCTAGTTCTTTTTTCTTTGTTTACAATGACGTGAGTTTGGCATACCACACCGATGATGTCTTGAGTGACACGTTTGCCTGAGAGCAGCGAGTTTACGGTCGGTTACATTATCGTTCCAGTCAACAGCGGCATCTCCTGGTGAGACACGGAAAAACGTGATGAATGAATGATATTTTTGCAATTTTACACATAATAATCAACGATGATCACATTACACAAAACTGAAAAGCATTGTGTTCAAATAGGATTCCAGAAGTCGCAAGAGTCGCAATAGTTCCCAAAAACATCATTACCACAACATGATATTTATTTGACAACCCATTTTCATTTGAGTTTGCTCATTGAAATATTCATATAGCTTATAGGCTTTTTATGACTCGTAAACATAAACACAATTAATCAAAAACTACTGATAAACGAGGAAGCGTCAATAAGTCAATAACATTTGCAGTACCATGTTTTAACAGTAAGAACTACAACATACAATTGTGAGTCACGTGTTTATTGTATTAAACTGACAGAGATTGATATTTGTTGTCATTCTTCATTGGCCTGCACTGCTATTAGAGCCTGTTACAGTGGTGGAGCTGGTGTCAACAGGATGTCAGTCAGCTGACCTCAGGAAGCAGCTCTTCGGCCAGCAAACCCTAACAAAGTGCTTAGACAGGCAGGAAATTGATCTGACTGGAATGTGCATTATCAGAGACTACCAGCAGGGAGGGACATAGTAGGAAATCCGAGGAAACGGTGCGTCATGTGACACACAGGTTGAAATCTCTGCTTACTGATGTTGTTTGACCACCCTCTGTGTCCAGATGGTGATCTTCACTTATGGATAAAAATGATATTCTAATGGAAAATGCTCAAAATTGCACATCAATGTCACTATGCAGATAAGGATGTAGGCAATCCTTGACTTAAAGGGATAGCTCACCTAAAAAAACCTCTCACCTCAAGTCGTTCCAAACCTGTATGACCTTCTTTTTTATTTGAAATTGAACATAAACAATATTGGAACCCATTGACATCCATTAGGCCTATATAGACAAAAAACACTAAGACATTTTTCCAAAACATCTTCTGTTTTCCACAGCCATACAGGTTTGGAATGACATGAGGAATTCAGCATAATGACACTATATCACTATGACACTATATCAAAATGTGCTTTCATGTGTTTCATTGTAAAAGCTAGCCTGCCACTTGGTTGACGTTTCTAAACTTAGCTAGTGACAGCTGGTAGTTCAGCTGACAGCTGCACCCAGACCACATAATGAGAGGGACAACAGCTCTGTAGATTAGAAAAAGAAGACAATAGTTATTTTACTCCAACGTGTGGTCAGACTTGCATATTTTATCTCGCTGCACATGCAAATCACAGCAGTAAGCTTTCATTCAGCAGTGACCACTGTCACCACACACTTCCTTGATGTAGATGTAGGTCACACAGTCACCTATTGTATAGCTACAGTACGAATTTGTTACGTGATAAACATGTCAACTTGTTTTTCTGGCTTTACTGTATTAGCTAAAATAAACATGTTTAGAATTAATCATTGTAGCATGGTAAGTTTTTAACATTTGCGGTTGGATTTTTAAATGTTTTTGAAAGAAGTCTCTTGTGCTCAGCAAGGCTGCATTTATTTCACTAAAATACAGTAAAAACACTAATATTGTGAAATATTACTATTTAAAATAACTGTTTCCTATTTTAATATATTTTAGAATTGAATGCATTGCTGGCAAAGCTGCATTTTCAGCACATTACTAGTTTCCAGTGTCACATGATCCTTCAGAAATCATTCTTGATATGCTGATATGGTGCTCAAGAAACATTATTATTATTAATGTTGAAAACAGTCAATATTTTTGTGGAAACCATGGCCCATTTAGGGTTCTCTGATCAATAAAAAGTTCAAAAGAACAGCATTTATTTGACAGAGAAAACTTTTGTGACATTATGTCTTTAAAACTGTCACTTTTGATAAATTTAATGCGTCCTTGCTGAATAAAAGTATTCATTCAATCATTCAACAAAAAAAAAAGAAAGAAAGAAAACTAAACTACTGACCCTAAACAGTAGTGAATCTGTAGCACAAATTGTGAGCATGGAATACATGGCAAAATAATATAGCCCCTCACCCCTACTGTTCTTAGCAAACACCACTAATTAAAAGCCAAGTGAGACCAAATATTGGCAGCTCCTTTTAATTCTTAATTAAATATGATAAAGACATATATTTGCTGTCTGCAGGCCTGAATCGACTCTTTAAATCGGAAAATAAAGTGCAGCAGCAAATGTAACAATAAAAAAAAACACAATGTGCATTAAAAAAAAAAAAGAAAACACAAATGTAACACAGGTGTTGTGGAATAGATTCAGACACATACTACAGTATATTTAGGGAATAAAATATTACGGCCTTTGAAAATCAATCACAGCAGATGTGCTCTCAAAATATACAAAATAAACTCATTCATAGAGTTCCTTTGAGTAAAGTTCAATCCCATTGGTAAAAGGCACTCTGGAGAAAAATAAAAAAAATAAAAACAATGCCACCACATTGGCAGTCAAAGCTTTCGGTTTATAATGTTAGCATGTCGAAAACAGCCCAAGCTAACATTCTGACCGATTTCTGTTACGTCTTCCTCAATATACGTACAGATAATTCAGTTATCTGCACTGGAGTGATAAAAGCAGTGTAGCAGATGTGACTAAATTCTCCCTGAGAATAACAGTGGCATTCACTACTGGACTGAGTGCATCTTCATAATTGATTGTCTCCAAAATCCCATGGATAACAGCTTTGAAATGAAACCTGGCAACCACTTATAATCAGAGAGTTGAATTAGGTAGCATTGCATTGATGATTTTGTATAGAGCATTTCCCAAATGAGTATCTCTAAGCCTTAATACTCATATTCCTGATACTCCTGCCAGACCACGTTTCTATGGTTACAACCTTTCCTGCAACGCTTTTTCCTGTGCTTTCTTTCTGGCTTTCCTCCGGACCAGCCTTTGTTTGAGTATTACGGTAAATGACAAGCTCAAATCAAAACATGGGACAGACGCTGGACTTGAAGCTTTAAGGGTTGCCTTTTGTTTCAATTTCATTGCATGTACCCTAATACACTATGTCTAATTGTCAAGGTTATATACTTGTTGACATGCTACAGTATTCGGTTTTTGTAACAGCATGAGATTGAAATAAACCCAACATGTGGCAATGGATTACAGTGGATATGAATCTATAACACTGTGCAATATACAGCAAAGGGACGCCTATTTGGGCTGATAGTCTTGAGCAGTGTACCGCTCAGTGGCTACATCTCAGTGTGCAAAGCTAAAACATACTAGAAATGAATGTCAAAATTTCCATATTATGGACTTTCAATTTGAATGAACATATCTAAGAATAATATACACTCGATTAGAAAATGGTTATGCATCCAGCAGTTTGTTCAAGGTGTAAGGCATGCACTATGCTTCAGTGTGGGTTATGAAAGTCAACCACACTGCAAATCTGGGATTCAAAATCAACATTATGAATATTCTCAAGAATTCTTCATTTCTAGGTCACATATTTCTGATATTAATCATGTGAACTCCTACAGATGGTGAGATGTTCTTTGGATCTTTCTCAAATCATGCTGGATAACATGATCAGGTTTCATTCAAACAGTTTTCCCCCAGATATCACATGCACAGATGAATCGCTCACAATAAGATATTGAATATAAATAAAGTAAATAGGGTGGATTTGGATTTCATGTTGACTTGAAAACAATCCAGGACTGCTAAAATAGACTATTATAATATGGCTAAATTCAAGTTTTCAGTTCATTTCAATTGTTTTCACTGTTAACTGTTACGTTGATAATATAGTTTGTAATAATAAAAACATTTTAGATTTTTCATTTTTAAAATGATGTATGTATATACTGTATATGTTACGCTAATAATAAAATTTGTAATAAAAAAGAGAACATATATACATACATGTTATTACTTATATTAAAAAAAATTAAAATTTAGTTTTTTAAATGCTTTTATCATTACAAATTATATTATCAGAGAACTAATTTAAATTTAAATATTAAATTGGAGAATTTCAATTCATGTAAATTTTTCATTTCATTTCACTCTAATTGTTATGCTGATAATATAATTTGTATTAATAAAAACATTTCAGATTTTCACAAGTTATATTATTAACTTAATGGCAGTGAACTAATTTAAATATTAAATTAGAGAGATTCAAAATTGCATTTTCAAAAGTGGTCTCGGAGTGGTCTGTTGACCCCACAGTGTATTTTGAGTTTGGTTTACAGCTTTAGATTTGTGCAAACACAGAACTTGAACACTTTTGCATGACACAGTACTGATTTGCATGACCTAGATGACCTACATGTCTTGGCGTGGAGCTGCGGGTCCCCTGTAATTCTGGGCCCTTTGTTTTCCACAGTGCAGTAGACAGAAACGTGTTTTGTTGATCATGCAAATTCCTGCGGATGTTGGCACAGCATGAAGGGCAGGGAGGAATAGAGAGGGG